TAAACTCAAAAGTACAGTCTCAATAAATCCTTGCATTAGAAAACAAACATTCTTTCGTGTTATATCGATGGTAGTTTGATGCATATATCAAAATACTACATGCTTACCATTTGTAAATTCACAAATAGCACCTTGTAACATGGCAATGTCGTGGTGCTTTTTGTTTGTGTGTTGTGTCAGTTGCTCCCACACCAGGTTAAGTCAATGCACCTGGTATTTGCATGTTTTGAAGAAAGCCACACAGGGAAACGAACATGCAAAGCAGCATCGCATAGAGATGCACAAGAGCCTCACCTCCGCGCTTCCTCGAGCCGTGTCCACGTGACTCCGAGCTCTCGCGCCCCACGCAGCCTCCCATGCCTGTCAATCAAACACAGGCCACATCTCAAGACGACTTCAAGATTCACTCCAGCTTTGTGATCGTTGGATTTCCCAAACGGACACAGTACTACAGTTCAGGTGACTAAATACAGTACGATATGTTATGTGATCTATCAACAGCACTCGCATTTAAAGAAAGCCTCCCACAAAAAAAACAAAACTCCAGACTGATGATGTCTGGGATGATCTATCGGTTAAGTTATCTGGTCAGAGAATCGCGTTTAGTTATTTCTGGCTTTATCCGACGAGCTAACGTTAACTTACAGCGGCTAGCCAGAGCACTAGCTTTATCCCGAACTCTTAAATCCGGTCTGAAAGAATAAAACAGCATCAGCGAGACTAGTATTTGAGCTTTATAGATTACTCCGTGCTCGCTTTGTTGTATATCAAAACACACACGCGTCGCAAACCTGCCTCAGCTGCTCTTTATCTCTCTCGCTAGTCTAACGTTACCTTTCCTCTCACTGATGTTTCCAACTAGCTCACGTTACTGACGCACACCGCGCATGCGTGCTCTGACCACGTGACCGCACTGCGCCAGAGCCCCTCCTCCAGAGCGAGCCCTCAAACTCCGATCAAAAATCGTGGAAAGTTTGTGAGCTTGTAATGAACAATAAAGCGATTTAACGTTTAAAAATGCCATTATCGTGCCATTACCTCTGGCAAGACAAGCACGCTCTTCGCAATACAAATAGCTTTATTGTCACGACGAAAGTGCATTGTGTATATAGCCAAAGCAGCAAAACAACATAGAAATATATCAACAGAAGTCAGAAAGAGCTTTATTGCCAGGTATGTTTGCACAATGCACATACAAGGAATTTGTTTTGGTGTCACAAGCTTCCAGAACACAGAGACAACATCAACAACACACAGATAATAAAAAATAAGATGTGAATAAAATACACATATGTATGTAAAAATAAACAAAAAATTAAATAAATAAATTGTAAGTGCATTAAGGGAACATCTCCAATAATAAAACAACAAGAAAAGCGAGTGTAAAAACTAAAAACTCAAAAAAAAAAAAAAAAGATTACTACGTAGAATACTAACTAGGCTACATAGAAAATAGTTAACTGAACAAATAAATACTTTTTTCCCGCAATGTTTACCGGTGTTCGTAGGAGCAGGAAACATAGTTCCTATCTTACGCAACTTTTTGCTAAATGCAATAATAAAAATAAAATAAAACGCTTCAGCGCTATATATGCGAGAGCATACAACATTAGATTTGTAAAGTAGGCTATTGATATTTCTTCAGGGTAGATCTGCTAGACTCAGAGTTTGACATCTCCACCCATTTAGGAAGTCTCTGAATGCACTTACATTCTCTCACATCTGTGTGCTCCAGTATATTATTCTCCTGATGTAAGCAAATACATCAAATGAATCAGATAATAGAAAAACAAATATTCATTGTGGTTCACTGCTAATCTTTTATAACAACAACAACAAAACGTTTCCGTTTGGACTAATAATAAACTTTTTTATTGCCATTTTTTGTAATATTTTAATAATTTTAAAATAGACATGGCAGATTAAAAAAAAAAAAGTTTAAATGTATAACCTTACGACATTTTACTTTACTTGTTTATTAAAACCCACACTTTTCTGAAAAATAAAATTACTCAATTCAAATTTAATTGTTTTAGCAAAATTCACAAGTCAACCTTAAGACTTACTTTGAAACTCATTCAATAACACTAACTAAATAAATAAATAAACATGGCATAAATAAACATCTATCTATCTATCTATCTATCTACATATATATATATATATTTCAGAAAAATATGTTATGTTTATATATTAAATATATTTATCTATAATATAAATTATATGAATATAAATATAGATATGGAAATACATGTAAATATTTTCAAAAATATATACTCTGTGTGTGTGTGTGTGTGTGTGTGTGTGTGTCTGTGTGTGTGTGTGTGTGTGTGTCTCTCTGTGTGTTTGTGTGTGTGTGTGTGTGTGTGTGTGTGTATTTATATATACATAAGTAGGTAGCTTTTATTGTCATTCACCTGTACATACAGAGTGCACATATGAACGAAATTCCGTTCCACTGGCTCATAAATACTGCACTAAACTAAACACACACCACAAAATCAGTATAAAAATATAGATATAATAAAAATTGCAACATTGTTCATTTAAAACAATATTACACTAAAAGGAATGGAATGACAGCAGCATATAAATATTAAATAATGCACATAGTAATTAGCAGCATCTAAAAAAAATTAAGCAGCAGCATATAGTACAATTAGTGCACATCGTAAGAAGTACTATTATATCAATGTCCACATCTAATACACATAAGAATCACTACAAAAAGATTCAGTGAAATAAAATGGTTAAGAGGTTATTTGTGAGTTCAGAAGTCTGATAGCTTGTGGAAAAAAGCTATTACAGAACCTTACTGCTCTGCACTGAATGCTGCGAAACCTTTTTCCAGAGAGCAGCAGCGTAAACAGTCCATAATGAGGATGGGTGGGGTCTTTTGCAATGTTTTGAGCACGAGTCAGACAGCGTTTGTGTGCAAGGTCCCGGATGGAAGGCAGTGAAGAGCCAATGATCTTTTCCGCTGTCCTCACCATCTCCGTACAGACCTCCAGTCAGAGGCTTCACAGTCCCCAGACCATACAGAGATGCAGCTGGTCAATATGCTCTCTATAATGCCTTTGTAGACAGTACTGAGGATGGGAGAGGGAAGGTGTGCTCTTCTCATCCGACGCAGACAAAAAAGACGCTGCTGTGCTCTCTTCACAAGAGAGGCGGTGTTAATGGTCCATGTCAAGCTATCTGTGATCTGCACCCCCAAAAACGTGATACTACTGACTACTTCCACCGCAGTGTCATTGATGATGAGTGGTGTGTGCCTGTGCTGCTTTTTCCTGAAATCAACAATGATCTCCTTTGTTTTTTCTACATTCAGGAGCAAGTTATTTGTATTGCACCAATCCACAAGCTGTCTCAGTTCCTCCCTATAGGCCTGTTCGTTGTCATCCTGAATGGCTGTGGATCAAGGCGCGCTGCTGGGTTTAGTGGAAGAATTCGTGTCTGGACAGGTCGATAGCCAGGCCGCAGAAACCGCTACAGGTATCTCATTCATTGGTGTCTCTCGTCTTTGCCATTTCTTGCCGGTTTGAGCGCTGACTCTTAAAGTCCCCATGAAATCAAAATTAAAGTTTTTTGGGTGTTAGTATCAATATGTTAGTCTTAAGGTTTCTATAAGGCAGTGTGCTCCAAAACAGTGACAAAATTCGCATTTAGAAGATATAAGCATTCAAAGCTTGCAGTTCGTCACTTCCGCCAAAACGGCTCAACGATTTTTTGACGTCACATCGTACTTCAGGTTCTCATCAAACTTTCTGTCCAATCAAATGCTCTCTAGAATCTGAAGCCCCGCCCCCTACACTATAAAATAGACGCTGAAGCCACGGCTGAAATCGGTCACTTGTCCATAGAATTAGTATTTTCTGTACAGTGAATGGCACGTAGTGCACTATATAGGGGACAGGGAACGATTCAAACAGTGTAAATATGCTTTCCATTGAGGAAAAAAAGAAGTCTGGTTTGGCGCTGTGTCACGCTAACCACCGCACCGCACACACACTCTGCTCCGGTCCAGAGACACGATAGCACGGAGCGGATCACATGCGCGAGTCGGCGCAGACCACACAATGTATCGGAGCTATTTGAATTCTACACAGCATGCTATATTTTATAGCAATATGGAGGAGATTGTGGCTGTCAAATGCGGCTCTGAACGGCTCTAGCCCAAGCTGTGATATAAACGAACGCTATTGGCTATTTTAAAAAGGGGCGGGGCTGCTTGATATGTCCCGCCCTGTCTTCCTGTTTCAGTTAAAATGACATCAACACAGAGTAACGCTGCGTGTTTCTAAACATTTCAGGGGACATATTTAAGTGTTTTTAAAATGGCTTGCATATAACTAACTTGCATCTCATTTAGAGACGCGATTCATGAATATGCTAATTAGCCCCGCCTCCACTTAATCGCAAGCGCTTAGTTGACTGAAGTAGTGCAGACTATAGAAAATGCAGAAAGTTCTGTTATAAGCAGTGAAGCCCTACACCGCACAATGAATCTACATCGCTTCTCATCTACACTTTGACTTTCTTTGTTATAAAGAGGACTCGGGCGCGTGCAGAATTGAACAATGAACAAAACTCGGGCGTTTTGGCGGCGAGTGGATTCTGATTAACGTAAACGCCTCTGATTGGACAGCGCGTTCAAGAAATCAACAGTTATGTCTGTGATTGGCTACAAAGCTCAACGCTGTGAATAGGAACCTTGGTATTAGTTGAATATTTGTGACGTAGGAAACGAGGGCGTTTTCATCTTGCTTACGAAATTGATTAGGCTACATGTAATCTGCATTACGTAATCAGATTCCAAAAATGTGCTAAAATAAAATGTAAAGCTATCCAAGTAGGCAACATAAATAAAGAAAATGTTTAAAGATCAGGGAAATTGAAATTCTGAGTGTGGTACGCAGGTTAACTCGTGCTACGCGCTCTTTAATGTTGCCAAGGGTTACGGTTTCCGTGAGAACGAGGCGCATTGACGTCAGCTGCCGCTTCCGGTGGGCAGCCGTCCAAACGGTCCGAACGCCTGTGGAGAATAAAGAGCTGTTCCCGCCTCTGAATAACGGCGCTCGGTAAGGAATAACGGAATAGCTGACGCGTCGTGTTCTGTCATGTAGATGTAGCGCTAAACATCTGCTATTATCGGTAAACGCTGGAAATGTCCTTTGTTGATGATACAGATAAAGATGGCGACCCTATCAGCGGCCTCTGCTCGATATTTATGGCATCTTAATTTCAAATATCATTTAACAAACAACTCGCTAACCGTTTATATTTGAAGTGTTTTCGCGTTTTAACGTTCTCGTTGGGGTTTCGAGCGTATTTTAGATAGCTGTGTGTCCGTTCGGTGTTGTATTTTGACATTTTGAGGTGCGTTTTGATGTGTGTTTTTGATCGATGTTGTTGAAGTTGAAAATGATTTTATGTCCACATAATAATAATCAGCCTGCAGCATGAAGTTGTTTTTCTGTAAATAATCACGTAGAGTTGATGCCTCTGAATAACGGCGCTCGGTAAGGAATAACGGAATAGCTGACGCGTCGTGTTCTGTCATGTAGATGTAGCGCTAAACATCTGCTATTATCGGTAAACGCTGGAAATGTCCTTTGTTGATGATACAGATAAAGATGGCGACCCTATCAGCGGCCTCTGCTCGATATTTATGGCATCTTAATTTCAAATATCATTTAACAAACAACTCGCTAACCGTTTATATTTGAAGTGTTTTCGCGTTTTAACGTTCTCGTTGGGGTTTCGAGCGCATTTTAGATAGCTGTGTGTCCGTTCGGTGTTGTATTTTGACATTTTGAGGTGCGTTTTGATGTGTGTTTATCAAAATGATATTTCATATGCGTTACATTTGATGTATATATTCTTTTGGTCTTGTAAAAAAGGATCTAAATTTATAATCGTGTACTTTAACTTTTGTCCCTAAATATATATATATACTGGTGTTTTGATCGATGTTGTTGAAGTTGAAAATGATTTTATGTCCACATAATAATAATCAGCCTGCAGCATGAAGTTGTTTTTCTGTAAATAATCACGTAGAGTTGATGCAGAGGTGTGTTGAAACAAAGATAATCTCCAGATTATTTCTGACATCAATCTCATTACTAAAATGATGCTGTAATCCTGCTCCTGTCCTCCTGTCAATCTATTAAATCCACGCTGTGTTTTAAGGCATTAACGACATTTTAATGAATATTAGTTACCTTTTGGACCGAGTGTTTGTGCATTACTTAATTCTGCAGCATGCACAGGATTGTAGGGAATCATCACAGCTAGTGTCTTCTTCCATCAAAGTACATCGAACATCAAATACATAAATCAGAATAGCTAACATGTTTTATGGCTTAAGACAGATGGGTGTTGTTTTTAATTTTCTGCAATTAGACGCATGTGTTTATTAATTGCTAGCACTAACATAATGAACTATATATTTTTACATTCATTTTTAGGTTACACTTTATTTTAAGGTGTTCTTGTTACAGTGTAATTATACATTTAAGTACTGAGTGATATTAATTAACTACATGTACTTACTATATGGTTAGGATTAGGTGTACTTACATGCAATTATTCTTAATGTATTGTTATTATAATAGTAAGTACATGTAACAAGGACAACTTAAAATAGTGTTACCAACTCTTTTAATAATTAAAAAAATTAAGGAAAAGTTTTTTTCATTAAAATTTTTACTGTATTTATTAATGCTGTTATTAACCCTTGTTAATGTTAGTTAATAAAAATGTTCTTGTTCAACTTCACAGTGCATTAACTAATGTTAACAGATACAACTTTTGATTTTATTAATGTGTTATAAATGTTGAACGTCACATTAATAAATGCAGTGTAAGTATTGTTCATGTTAACTAATATAGTTAACTAATGCTAATAAATGAAACCTTACTGTAAAGTGAAAACATTTCATTTTGTCCACCAAGTTGCACTTTATATTAAGGGATATTTCATTAAATTTTTCATTTTAAAGAAATAAATGAAGAGTTCATTTGCAAAAACAGATAACTCAGCTTTTAACCATTTTCAAAAATCATGTTTTTTCATTGTGCATTCCAGTTAGTCTAAATAAAACTGCAGTTGGGTTATTTTGATTAGTTAAAAAATAACTAAAAATACAGCTAACTAACACAATAAAAACATGATAACATAATAAAAAACATGATTATCTGAAGAGTTATCTGTTTTTGAAAATAAAATACATTTCAGACCTTCTACGTTTAGATCATTTAGAATAGATTATGTATCTTTTCATTATTTGCTTTTGTATGCTCTCAAACGCTTACGGTTTGTGCTCTGCTGTCGAACTTCTGAAATATTGAGGCTGGTTTCGTTTGATCAGCATCTCGCCGAGTTGTAACTGTGATGCATTGGTTTGTATTTGTGCAGGTCAGAGGTCAGATCCAGCGTGCAGCATGGCGTCAGGCAGCGTGAGCAGCGAGGAGGAGAAGAGCATGAGGGAGTGTGAGGTATATGTGCAGAAGCACAGCGTACAGCAGCTGCTGAAGGACTGCATCGTGCAGCTGTGCACCTCACGACCCGACAGACCCATGGCCTTCCTCAGAGAACACTTCGAACGGCTGGAAAAGGTTCGCACTTATTTGTGTCCCTGCAGCACAAAAGCAGTGTTAAGTCGCTGGGGTATATTTGTAGCAATAGCCAACAATACATTGTATGGGTCAAAATTATACATTTCTCTTTTATGCCAAAAATCATTAGGATATTAAGTAAAGATCATGTTCCATGAAGATATTTTGTAAATTTCCTACCGTAAATATATAAAAACTTAATGTTTGATTAGTAATATGCATTGCTAAGAACTTAATTTGAACAACTTTAAAGATGATTTTCTCAATATTTAGATTTTTTTGCACCCTCAGATTCCAGATTTTCAAATAGTTGTATCTCAGCCAAATATTGTCCGATCCTAACAAACCATACATCAGTGGGAAGATTATTTATTCAGCTTTCAGATTATGCACACTTAAGACTGGTTTTGTGCTCCAGGGTCACATTTGTACATAATTCTGACAAAATCACCAGATCAGGAGCCTCTGCTGACACCACTTTGCTTAAATAAGATTTTCAACATCTGGTAATGTGTTTATTAAAATAAAATAAACGGTTCATGCTCATGCGGTAATGCACAGCCACATGTGTCTTTTTGTTTTTGTAAACTAGCGGCAGCAGGGATAGAAAGACACCCATGTTCATTAATTAGTTAAAATGTATTCATAATAATTATTATAATCGGAATAAATTGTGCAAATTGGCCCTCATGTTATTAAATATGTACAAATATGCATTTTTTTTACTCAAGGATTTTGATTTTTCAGTATATTTCCTAAAATATTATTCATATACTATTATAGTTTTTAATTTATTTTTAATTCGCTTTTATTTTGATATATTTAATTGTTGTTAAATGTTTAGTATTTGTATGTGCTTTTTTCTTTTTAAAGTTTATTTTTCTTTTCATATTACAATTTAGGTTTAATTTAATTTATTTCGGTTTTAGTTTTTATATATTTCCAGGTAGTAATTTTAGCGCTTCAACCTAAACTAACAAAAAAGCCTGAAAAAAAGCTAAGTTTTTAATTTGATCTGTTTCTTTTTTTTTTTTTTTTTTTTTATAATAATAACAATTTTTTTTTTTTTTTTTTTTTATAATAATAACAATTTTTTTTTTTTTTTTTTTTTATAATAATAACAATTTTTTTTTTTTTTTTTTTTTATAATAATAACAATTTTTTTTTTTTTTTTTTTTTATAATAATAACAATTTTTTTTTTTTTTTTTTTTTATAATAATAACAATTTTTTTTTTTTTTTTTTTTTATTTTAGTTAAAATAAAAACGATTTTTTTTTTTTTCTCTTTTTTTTTTTTTTTTTAAATGCTGTTTTTAATAAAATGCTTTTTTCAATGCTATTTTTAAATTTAGCAGGACATTCCAGAAAGTCACAAAAACATTTTTTTTCTTTTTTTGACCTCGTAATTTTTCATTAAACTTAACAGGATTTTTCAGTGAAACGCCAGACTTCTCTCTGCTTACACATGCAGGACTTCTCCAATCTTTTAGTTCAGATTTGTTGCTGCTTCGACTTCAAATCCAACCAGAATCTGTCCTCCTCATAAAATGATACTGTTCATAAACATGCATGCATCAGGAGGAAGCTAAGCAGCTGCTGACCCAGCAGAAAGCCAGCTCTCGCTCAGACTCTCGTGAAGATGAGGTGTCTCCTCCCATGAACCCCATGGTGAAGGGCCGCAGACGGAGAGGAGCCATCAGCGCTGAGGTCTACACCGAGGAGGACGCCGCCTCCTACGTCAGGAAGGTGCGTGTTTGTCAGACTGATGTAATGTGGGAAGTGTCGGACTCGATGTGTAGCTCAATCAGTCATGTGTTCTGTCTCCTGTGAAGGTCATTCCTAAAGACTACAAAACCATGGCTGCTCTCGCCAAAGCCATCGAAAAAAATGTGCTCTTCTCACATCTGGACGACAATGAAAGAAGGTGACTTTGTGTTACAGTTAATTTATTACTTTTTAGCAAAACATTTGTTTGTTTGTTTTTATTCACTGGACAGTTTTTTTTTCAGACTACTGAAAAGAAAACGCACTTTTATTGCACTTTATCTATATGTGTTCAGATTCCAATTACAATACATAACTTTATCTTTATCTTTTTTTCACTTCAGCAGCACTTTCATATATTAAACCTCACGATTTTATTCCTGTATATGAAGGATTTTACAGAGGGGTTTGTTTATATATCATTTGCATGATTTTGTTATTACACTTTATATGTGACCCTGGACCACAAAAACCAGTCATAAGGGTCAATATTTTGAAATTGAGATTTATGCATCATCTGAAAGCTGAATAAATAAGCTTTCCATTGATGTGTGGTTTGTTAGGATAGGACAATATTTGGCAAAAAATATTGGGTGCAAAAAATCTAAATATTGAGAAAATCATCTTTAAAGTTGTCCGAATGAAGTTCTTAGCTATGCATATTACTAATCAAAAATTAAGTTTTGATATATTTACGGTAGGACATTTACAAAATATCTTCATGGAACATGATCTTTACGTAATATCCTAATGATTTTTGGCATAAAAGAGAAATCTATCATTGTGACCCATACAATGTATTGTTGGCTATTGCTACAAATATCCCCCAGCGACTTAACACTGCTTTTGTGCTCCAGGGTCACATATATTTGTGTGTAGATTTTTATTACAATGCATCTCTTTAAAGAGCATTTTATTCCTACCTATATTCTCATATAGGTTTTTACAGAGAGGTTTGTTCATATATCATTTGCTGATTTTATTCCTAAAAACATTTTCTGATTTATGGAGTGATAAAAAATGAAATTTAACTCTTTAACTCTAAATTCAATCAAGAGATTTGAATCTGGTTTTATCCAAGGTTCAGATTTATGTTCTGGATTTTTATACAAATTAGTGCATATTTAATAAGATAATGCCTCATTTCCAAATTAAACATAACATTTCACGAACTTGTAATACGAAAACATGTTTGCCGTTCTGAATGTAATCAATCAGAAGTGTGGTGCTGTCAATTAAATATATAAAATAATTTACTGACCAAATTTGTCTGCTGTTTTACCCTGCAGTGACATATTTGACGCAATGTTTCCGGTCATCTACATCGCAGGAGAGATAGTCATCCAGCAAGGTAGAGCTTTGAGAATACTTATGAGGAATCACATTGATCTTATTTATACATGTACTTAGCTTTACTGTTTCACGCTTGTTTCTAGGTGACGAGGGCGATAACTTCTATGTCATCGATCAGGGTGAAATGGATGTAAGTTACACCTTAGTGTTGGGCGATATGCTCCATTGTCATATCATCCTATCGTCAGCCTGTGAGATCGCCAATACACGATATTATCGTGCAAATTTATTTAATTACTTATTTACTTAGTTTCATTGCGGGAAAGTGAACCAACTCCAGTGTAAGGCTAAAAGCAGCCTAATGTTTTTAATATGACTGAATTTGTATTTAGCATAACAAATTAATAGAAATAAAGCAATAAGCCCCAAGAAGCCGTGGTTTACAGTGAATTTATAACAGCTAAGGGGCGTTGTTAGGTACGACGCGAAGGTTCCACAAAATAAAACGGAGCAAATAAAGTGTAATGATATTAATAAAAACAGTATTCTTCCACCAAACAATGTAGTTCCTCAGAAACAGTTGTGGTTGCAACAAAGTGGTTGCCGAGCAACACACAAACGTAAACAAAGGTGTATGTTACTTTGTAGAGTCATTTACAACAGCTTCGAACGCGGCTCAGCCAATCAGAATCAAGGACTGGAACTATCTGTTTTATAAACATTAAGTTACTAATTATAATGCTTACATTTCCTCCATTTTTTTAAAAGCAGCTACATAAAACGCGCAAGAACATTTACATAAAGCACATTGACTTTCTAGCGCGAGTATATGCACTTTAAAAAACACTCCTATTACAATCAGTGGAGCTATATACACTGTATGATGAATAAATCTCTTATGCTTACATCGCATGTACATCTGCACTCTGTTGTTTATGATGAGAGAATTCGCGAGTCAGAATTCAAACAAAACACATCTGAACACCTCTGATTAGCCATTGCATTCATAAGCTCAATATAATTGTGTGTGATTGGTTATAACTAGAGCCCGACCGATATGGGTTTTTTGGGGCCAATACCGATATTAGGGAGTTAAAAAAAAGGCCGATACCGATATATCGGCCGATATTCTTTGTGTATATTATAGTACAGTACCAGTCAAAAGTTTCGACACTCCCATTCGTGTGTCCAAACATTTGACTGGTACTATATATAGAATACAGTATATACATAAACAGAATATATATACATAAACACATTTTTTGCAATGAT